AAAATCATTTTACCTTCTATTCTAATATCCATGTCAACAAAATCACCATCAACAACACTTTCATCAACAGTGATGACAGTTTTTGCTCTGATTCATTCTTTGCTCTGATTCATTCTTTAAGATCTCTACTACAATAAACCAAAAATCATTCTTATTTGGCTTCTTATTCAGCAAGTTGTATCCTTTTACTGTATCCCTTCATGCTATAAAAGCTTGTATTAATCCAGTTTTTTTCTTTGCACATCAAAAAAAACCTTATAACTCTTAGCTATTTTCATGTTTTCCTTTTTTATACAACCTACAACTTTTTAAGTCTTCACCGTTTTAGTTAAGGGTTATGACTGGAAATGTTTTTGCAAAATTTTGTCTTTTCTGTGATCACAAATAATGAACTTTTGTGACCTGATTATTTATAAATTATTATTAAAGCTAGTTGTAAGGAAAAATTTCTGCACCAAGACATCTAACAACATGGTAGTTGTCATATTTTACAAAAAATATTTTTCTCCTAAAGTTTAAAGTCTAAAGGCCTCAACATGATATACTTTAGGAGAAAAATATTTAAATTTGAAAAAAATTAATTTTTATTTAAAAGTTTTAGATTTTTTTAAATTAACTATAAAATTTCTTTTGAGACCCTTCTTTTTTTTTTTTTTTTTTTTTTTTTTTTAACATCTTCACTTCCAACAAGGCTGCAAGCAACCACTATAAGAGTTGGAAGTTACTGGAAGAGAAAAGACTAAATCTGTAGAGCAAGATAACGATTGACTGATGACTTAAAAGATTGCAAATTATATGAATCAGGAAAGCAAGATGAAGGAAGCGAATTCCAAAGAACTGATGTTCGAGGAAAAAAACTAGAAGATTAAGAGTTTTTGAAGCACTTAGGAACAGTCACAGAAAAAGGATGAGACTTAATTGAATGGCGAGTAACACGAGAGTGAATTTTAGTAGATGGCACAAGGGACGCTAGCTCTTTAGAGCAGTGCCCATTATAGTATTTGTAGAAAAGAGAAAGAGAAGCAACATTACGACGATGTGACAAAGGTTGGAGATTGGCTGCAAGAGCAGGTCCAACTATGTTTACAATTCGTTTTTGCACTTTGTCTAAAAGAGAAAGAGCATCATTAGAAGATCCGCCCCAGATGTGGCAACAGTATTCCATACAGGGACGGATTTGAGATTTATAGAGATAGAGAATAGAATCTGGAGTAAGAAAGTGTCGAGCTCGATAAAGAGATGCAACCTTAGCAGATGCTAATTTTGCAATGGATTTGATATACGGTTTAAAAGAAAGATCAGAAGTAAGAGTTAATCCTAGAAGATGAATGGTAGATGACTCATCTAGTACATTACCATTCATAAATATAGGAAGATCTAAATTATTACGATAACGATTGGCCGAATAAAATTGAGTTTTATCTGAATTAAAGTTCACCAGCCACTGTGAGCCCCATGCTGTAGCAGAAGTGAGATCCTTTTCAAGCTCAGATACCCCCTCCAAGCAATCAGAGAGTGTAGGCTTCTTATCATGACAAGAGTAAATGGTAGTGTCGTCAGCGAATAATGCCACCTTAGATGTGAGAATATCTGGAAGATCGTTAATGTAAATTAAAAAGAGTATAGGGCCAAGGATTGAACCTTGAGGAACCCCTGAAGTTACAGGATGTGAAGAAGAGTGTTGTCCATCGAGGACAACTTTTATACTACGATTGGAAAGAAAGGACTCAATAATCTTAAAGACGTTACCAGCTACACCATAAGAAGAAAGCTTATGGAGAAGACCAGCATGCCAAACTTTATCAAAAGCTTTAGAAATGTCAAGTGCGATAGCCTTAACCTCTCCACCTCTATCTAATGCACGGTAAAACCTATCGGTTATTACTGTTAGCACATCAGCTGTAGAACGAGAAGACCGAAATCCATATTGATGATCAGAAAGTAAGTTATTTGATTCAAGATGAGAGATTAAGTGTTTGTTGATTAAAGATTCAAAAACCTTGCTTATGACAGGAAGAAGACTAATGGGACGGTAGTTAGATGAATCAGATCGCTCTCCGGAATTTTTGAAAATAGGGATAACAGATGCTGCTTTCCAGCATGATGGAAAACAAGACTCTGATAAGCACTTGTTAAATAGTTTAGAAAGTATGGATGAAAGCTCCGGAGAACACCTCTGCAAAACTACAACAGGAATGTTGTCAGGACCACAAGCTGTTGAAGAGTCTAAGCAGGAAATTACTTTAGATACAGAAGCTGAAGTGATGCGAATGTCAAGCAAGGGATCAACCTGTTTGACGGCTATGTCAGGTAAAACGCAACTAGTGGAATCAAGAGATGATATTGATGAAAAGTTCTTAGCAAACAATTCAGCTTTGTCTTTAGGTGAGGTGACAAAGTCTGAACCATACAAGAGAGAAGGAATAACAGATTTGCCCTTATTATTGATACTGTTAAAGATTCTCCAGAAGTCTCGAGAGCCTAATTTTTGTGATGAGATACGAGATTTAATGACCTGGGAATAGCGAGCTTTGGCGTCAGACAAAACCTTTTTACAATGGTTTCTGGCGATAGTGAACAGATGTCTGTTTTCTGGAGAATTGTTTTGCTGATAGATATGGAAGTAATGGTTTCGATTAGAAATTGCTGCAGCGCAATGTGAGGAAAACCAAGGAGAAGAGTGAGGTTTGACCTGGAATCGTCGAGAGGGAATAAAAGATTCCATGCCAGCCTGAATCCACGAAGTTATGTAAGAAGCACATTTGTCAGCAGGAAGACGAAAGATTTCTACCCAAGGGCCATCACGAAGAAAATCACGGAAAGAGTCCCAGTCAGCTTTAAGGTAGTTGTGTGTGGTACGATGATAGGGGGATTCTGATGAAGTAGAAGAATTTGATAATAGTTTTAGAGAGATCAAACCGTGATCAGAAGTACCTAAGGGTGAATGTGGAGAAATTGAGCACTGACTAGGATCCAAAACAAGACATAAGTCGAGTAGAGAAGGTAAATGATTAGGGTTGTCTGGAAAACGAGTTAGAAAGTTGACTATTTGAGTTAGAGATTGAGAAAGGCAAAAGTTGAGGGCCTTAACGCCAGCAGAGTCACTGACACTAGAGCCAAGCCAATCGGTGTGATGGGCATTAAAGTCACCAACAACGACGATATTGGCCGATGGATAAAGAGAGAGGGCTTGGTCAATTTGATCAGAAATAACATCAAGAATAGTGCAGTCTTGGGATGAAGGAGAGCGATATAGAACAAAGAGAAAGGCGATAGAGTGAAGTTGTGCTAAGCGAAAGCACATAAATGAAAAGTCTGTAGATTCAAATCTAGTTTCACGACAAATGGGTGAGTTCTTACGAATGTAGATGCCCAGGCCAAGCATGTGATTATTGGAGTCTTTACGAATTAAAGGAAGATAACCAACACTAAGATCACAAGATGGGACAGCCGAACTCAAATTAGTCTCACAAAGAGCAAGTAGGTCTGGTGAACTTTGCAAGAGATAAGACTCAACAGAAGAAAAGTTACTTCGAAGACCACGAATATTAGTAAATGATAGGTTTAGAGAACTTGGTGATGACAATGGTTTTTTGTGTTTTTTAGTTTTAGGTACTTTAGTCATTTTAAATTTATAAAGAACTTGACTCAAGTATAGATAGTACTCAGTACACTATTTAACAACTAAGCAATAGCCTCATTACTATTAATAAACCCTAAGCCGTAACAAAGGGCTCCAAATGTGGCCTCTGCAATGCACACCAAAAGTACAAACAGGGACACCATCCATGCGCAACATGGCACTGTTAGTACTCTGATATTTTTCGGCTGTTGATGGAATCAGCCTCTCTGAGAGCTACCACAGAGTTCGGGAAACCTGACTACCAGCCGGCCTCAGAACCATAAAACTGAGTTTTAGAGCTGTACCCTCATAAGGAGATAATAGAATGAGTTGCCCAGTCATAAAAATAGAGACACAAGCAATACCCACGCATTGAGTCAAGAAGATCCAGCGTTCAACATCCTAAACTGTAAACAATGTATTAAAAATACATCTGCGCCAGCCTAATAGATGAGGAAGGGGTGCGAGGCTGGTCAACAGATAGAATCTGTTTACCCCTTAAGTCTTTGCCTAGGAGGCCTTCTACAAGACAGCAGCTGGATGCATGTAACATCTGCCCAAGATGAGTATTTTTATCGAGACACCATCTCTAGCCTTTACTCAACCAAGAGCCCCAAGGCAGGGGGTGTTTTTTAATAGGGTTGACATTTTTTTAATATATCAAAAAACGTCTCAATATTTTAGATATCAAAAAACGTCTCAATATTTTAGATATCAAAAAACGTCTCAACATTCTTGATATATTTTTAGAGAGAAATATTATTGATAATATATCGGTTCAAGGAGGCACCTATCATGTTATCAGGTGTCTTGGTACAGGGTATTTTTATGAGTTAAACAAAATAAATTTGATTTTCCTTATCAGTATTCTAATGTTCATTTATTCTAACTGTATGCCAATTTTTTTTTGTGTGTCATAACCCTAATGTACAGCATAACTGATTTGGATGTGTGTTTTTATTTAAAATATTTGTCATTTTCATTTATTTATTAAGGATTGCATTTAAAAATTAAAAAATTAAAAATAGTAAAACCAGTTTTGAGAAATAAAAGTAACAAATTTTTTTTGGTTGATTTTATATGGTTAGACCCCAGACCCCAATATAATTTAGAAAATTACAACTAACATTCCGACATATGCTGAGGTTAATTTCACACTCTGAACACACATTAACATTTTCAAACACTATTAAATCACTAATCAATTATATGAAAATTTAAGCAATGCATAAATACTATCAAAACTTCATACAATTTTGTTAATTGAAAGTTCTCTTTAATAAGATTTTTTTTTTTTAGTTTTTGAGTTATTCTTAATCTTATTATTTATTATTAGTTTTTTTTTTTCTTTTACAAAAAAAGTTATTTTTTTTTTAAGGTTGTGGAAATTTTTGAAGAAATTAAACTTGCTTTCAAACAGCAAATCAAAGGTTATAAATGGTTAGATGAGAAAATGAAAAAATTTGCAATTGAGAAGGTAGTTTTTTTTAGTGATGCAAGTTCATGCAATTTTTAGTTCAACTAAAACTTTTAGCTTGCTAACATTATCAAATTTTTAATGCAAACTAAAACTAGCCTCTAATTTTTAATTACTAGTCAACTTTTTTTTTACTTTTTTTTTTCAAAAAGTGAGACCATTAACTTTTTAAAGTTCTACATTATGTAGAACTTCAAATTAGTAGACTAATATCATTCTAAAATAGTTAGTAAACCAATTTTAGCGAATAATTAGTCATTTAGTATGCTGTTGTTTGTAGAGTTGAATTATTTTTAAATAGATTGATGGCTTAGTTGCCAAGATTGGATACCCATCCTATATAGTAAATGAAGAGGAGCTTAATAAGCGATTTGAAAAGGTTTGTTCAATCTAACATTTGCATAAAAACAAATTTTTTCTGCATTTTTAATTCTGATGTTTTAATTCTAATATTTTAGCTTGACATTGACAAAACCACTTTTTTTGTTAACAATCTTAATATTGCCAAATGGCGACATAAACAGTTGTTTGAAAAACTCAGAAAACCAGTTGATAAAGAAGAGTGGCAAATATACCCACAAGATATTGATGTTATGTATCTCATTTTTAACAATGAAATAAGTAAGTTTTCATTTAATCTATACCTCTTAGTCCTGGACATTCACTTTCATTGCTCTCCTGGTCCTGGAAATTCTTCTACATTACTCCCCTGGTCCTGGACATTCACCTTCATTACTCCCCTGGTCCTGGACATTCACCTTCATTACTCCCCTGGTCCTTGACATTCACCTTCTTTACTCCCCTGGTCCTGGACATTCACCTTCATTACTCTCCTGGTCCTGGACATTCATCTTTGTTACTCTCGTTTTTGGTTAATACTTTTCTTCCTAATAGCAAATTGTTTTCAAAAAACTTTTAGGCCTATCTTTTTTTTTTACTAGTTATTCCTGCTGGAGCTTTGCAATCACCTTTGTTTCACAGTGGAAAAGTCCCAAGGTATAAATCTTTTAAGTAAACATTTTTTATATTATGGTATCATTGAGTATAAATAATAATCTGTAATAACATCAGCATTGATAGATACAAAGTAATCATATTAAAATGTTATTTAAAAAAAAAAATTTATTTAAAAATTTTTTTTATATTGATCAAAATATTTTGTCAAACATTAGATATTTGTAAACGTAAAATAATTAGAAAAATTTTAACTTATGTATTTTTCTATTGCAGATCAATTAATTATGGATTTTTTGGTTCATTAGTTGGTCATGAAATTACGCATGGGTTTGATCCAAAAGGTCTGCTTAAAAAAGCACTCAATTTTTAATAATTGATTTTACTTTATTTATTCATGAATTGAATTTGGGTGTTTGTTAAAAGAGGGTAGAATGTACAATTTGTTATCAATTTATTTAGGTCAAATGCATGATAAAAATGGTGACTATATTAAAGATGGGTGGTCAAGAAAAACTTCTTTTGAATATTTTAAAAAGTCTAAGTGTTTCGTTGAACAATATAATGAATTTAAAGTAGGAAAACAATCAGTAAGTAAAAAATATTCAAGTAAATTTAAGTAAAAAAGCATTATACTAATAACCATTATATGTTATCATATCTCATATATGATCATCTATCTTATGTTATTATCTCTCATATTTTATCATCTCTCATATGTTACCATTAATCATATATTATTATCTTTTCAATTTTTTTAAATAGGTTAATGGAAATTTGACACTGGTTGAAAATATTGCAGATAATGGAGGTTGCAGGTTGTCCTTGAAAGTAAGTTTTAAGTTGTATCAAATTTTTAATTTATTTGTTTGTTATTGCCTCTTTTTTTTTATTATTTTATTATCACCACTGCCCACCCCAATACATTCTCTCTTACATTCAAAATGATTTCTATCATCACCAGTACCCACCCCAACACACTCTTTCTTACATTAAAAATGATTTCTACACCTTAACAATTAGAGTTTCTAAAATGAAAGTTGGCAGACATTATTAAAATGAAAGTTGGGAGACATTATTGTTATGCATTGTTAGGATACAAAGCTCTGCAAATCGCTATATCTATGCAAGAAATCAAATTAAACATAAATTAGTGGATTTAGATTGATAAAGATTTTTTACAGAAGCTTTAGTAAAATTGTTACTAAAATGTTGTGCTCAAGATTTATGAAGATAAAGATTTATGAAGCAATTTTAGAATAGTTCGTAGAAGGGTTTAAAGGTTGTTACCATTATAAAGGAATAAAAGTTAAGTTTTTCTAGATCAATGAGAAGCGATTCAAAAAACATTAATCCAAGGAAAATTAAGAAAATTGTAAAGAGAATCTCTTGTACTTTTGAAATGAAGAAGGTTTTGCATGTAGAATATATTGAGGTTAAAGTTTTAAGGAAACCAAAGTTGTTTTAGAAATAACCGAAAGAAAATAAAAAAAGTTATAAAAACTGAACAAAACAATCATTTGAATCTGAACAAAACAATTCATTGAATCTGAACAAAACATTCAGGTGGGCAAAATAAACAGTTGGACAAAACAATTAGTTGGATAAAGCAATCAGTTAGACAAAACAAACATTTAGACAAACAAACAGTGGGACAAAACAAACAGTTGGATAAAACAAACAGTTGAACAAAACAAACAGTTGAACAAAACAAACAGTTAAACAAAACAAACAGTTTGACAAAACAATCAGTTAGACAAAACAAACAGTTGGACGAAACAATCAGTTGGACAAAACGAACAGTTGAACAAAACAAACAGTTGGACAAAACAATAAGTTGGACAAAACAATCAGTTGATAAAACAATCAGTTGGACAAAACAATCAGTTGGACAAAACAAACAGTTGGACAAAACAAACAGTTGGACAAAACAAACAGTTGGACAAAACAATCAGTTGGACAAAACAAACAGTTGGACAAAACAATCAGTTGGACAAAACAATCAGTTGGACAAAACAATCAGTTGATAAAACAATCAGTTGGACAAAACAATCATTTAGACAAAAAAAACAGTTGGACAAAACAAACAGTTGGACAAAACAAACAGTTGGACAAAACAAACAGTTGGACAAAACAATCAGTTGATAAAACAATCAGTTGGACAAAACAAACAGTTGGACAAAACAAACAGTTGGACAAAACAAACAATTTTTAGGTTGTTTACTCGACATTGCAAAAACTAATAAGAAGTGATCAAAACAAACAGTTGGACAAAACAATCAGTTGGACAAAACAATCAGTTGGACAAAACAATCATTTAATCAAAACAAACAGTTGGACAAAACAAACAGTTGGACAAAACAATCAGTTGGACAAAACAAACAGTTGGACAAAACAAATAGTTGGACAAAACAAACAGTTGGACAAAACAATCAGTTGATAAAACAATCAGTTGGACAAAACAATCATTTAGACAAAACAAACAGTTGGACAAAACAATCAGTTGGACAAAACAATCAGTTGGACAAAACAATCAGACGGACAAAACAAACAGTTGAACAAAACAAACAGTTGGACAAAACAATCAGTTGGACAAAACAATCAGTTAGACAAAATAATCAGTTGGACAAAAAAATCATTTGGACAAAACAATCAGTTGGACAAAACAATCAGACGGACAAAACAAACAGTTGAACAAAACAAACAGTTGGACAAAACAATCAGTTGGACAAAACAATAAGTTGGACAAAACAATCATTTAGACAAAACAAACAGTTGGACAAAACAAACAGTTGGACAAAACAAACAGTTGGACAAAACAAACAGTTGGACAAAACAATCAGTTGGACAAAACAATTAGTAGGACAAAACAATCAGTTAAACAGAAAAATTAAAGCAAGAAGAGTTATAGAAAGATAAAATTGAATAAAAAAAAAATAATGGGAGATTGTTAGACAAAAACATGTAAATAAAATCAGAATATTCAAATCTAATTTTACTCAAAGTAGGTAAGTTTTTTTTAAAGTTAATATTATGTGTATGGCAATTGAAATTTGATTTAATGAAAAGGATACTCAGAATATTAATGTTAGTAAAATGTATTATAAATGTTTTATAGTTACTTACATAATTAATTTTAAAGTGAGTTTGACTCACTAAATGAGACCAGTAAATGAAAAATAACTTTAAATAAACTACTAGTTATAAGAATATACAGGTTTTTCTGACAAATTTATTCTTTCTAAAATGAACTACCAACTAAAATACGATTTTTTGAATGGAATTAAAAGTACTCACTAAAAGAATCAGCAGAATGACACCAATGTACAGCATAACACTAGTAAATTACTGCTGATGGTGGATTTTTTTTTTTGATAGAGTGCTTTTAGAGCTGCTATATTTTTAGCTAATATTAGAGTTAGCTATACTAAAATGGTCTCTATTTAACTTATATTATGATAAATTTGTAATTTAAAATTTTCTATATAGTACTAAAAGTTTGGAATTTTTATATTTTGTAGGCTTATGAAAATTATTTGCAAAATAACACAGATACCAGACTTCCAACATTAGAATACACTGACAGACAATTATTTTTTATTAGTTTTGCCCAGGTATTATTTATCTTTTTATTATTAATTTTTTTTTTATATACTTCTTAAAAATTTTTTATTAGTATATAAATTTTTATCTTTAGGGATATTGTGCTAACGCTAAGCAAGAAGTTGTCCTTGCAAACGCATTAATGGAAGGTCGTGCACCATCAAAGTTTAGGTAGTTAATTTTAAACTATATCTTTTTTAAGTTTTAGAGGTAAGCAGAATGTTGTTTAAAGCCTAAAATGATAAATGTTGGATCTTTCTTCTTGACTCTAATTTATGGGTTTTTATTTTTGTCTCTTCGGAAGTGGGTTTTAGTTTGTTGCTCCTTGGTAGTGACAATTAAACTCTTTCTGTTATCTCCTGATGAGGGTGCAACTATAAAACATACTTTAATGGTTTTGAGGCTGATAATAAGGGCTATGTGTTAGCTTCCAGAACTCTGTGGTAATTCTTAGAGATTTATTTTATTGGATAAGAATGCCATGTTGCACATGAATAGTGTTCCTGTTAATTCTTCTTTTTTTTTTCTTTAGGTGGTTTTGACCATGTTATGATCTCCCTAAAATTTTTATCTTGTGCTTTTTCTTTATCAGACTCATCATTGCACTTTTTAACACTGCCTGTCTGGCAGTACTAGTACCTGATAGGCTTTTTTTGTATTTTTGTTCTGTGTTTATATCTTTGAAAAGTTTTTAAAATTAAAGAATCTTTCTGTTCCCTAGGAGACTTTATTTTCTAATGGCACAACTATATATTCCATTTTTGACAAAAAGTCATCACCTTTTGATTGCTTAAAATAAACAGCTGATCTGTGATTTCTCTATTGTGTCAGCTTGGCGCCTGCAATGGCTGCTGAATTTTAATTTAATAAAAAATTCAGTTGTTTCCTGCTAATAATTATTTATATACTATTGATATTCCAATACTAATGAATGGCAACACTTTAGCTGGCGCTTCTACTTTATATCTTGGATTATCCTATTACTGCCCATGCAAATAATATAACCAATTCATTTCAAAGTTAGCATCTGCTAAGTTTACTTCTTTATTGCGTCTACAAAATTTTTTTTGCTCTTTAAATTTTAATCTTTGGTAACTGTTAACTTTTAAATTAAATATTGTTTTCTGTTAACTTCAAAATTAAATAGTGGTTACTTTCAGCTTTGTTAGAAGTTAATTTGTTTAAAAAAAAAAAATCATTAAGTTGGTAAAAATAATTTTAAAATAATCTTTGTGTCTTTGTTTTGTGTTATATTATTTTGATTTTAAAAGTAAATTCGACTAAGTGTAACCAAATATTTTTTTTCTGTTATCTTCCATTGTTAATCTAGTATATACATATATTTATAAAACTATAGTGTAATAGTGTAAATGCATTTTAGTTGTCATATAACCAACATAACTCCGTTTTCATATTTACAACTTAACCTTTTGTCTTTCATAAGACACCTGTTTATCTTGTTTCTATAGTATAAAGAAAAATTCAAGCTGTTATAAAAATTAAAAAAAAGACAAATGAGTTATAGGATTGGCAATATTGGCGTGTGCGCACTTTTTTTCAGCATAAATTCACCTTCCCAAGGCCAAATAGGCAACCACAGTCAAGGAGCTACTTTAGTTAAGGTTACAACCCTCTCTCAACTCTATAACTCTGAACTTTGACAAACAAGGCTGCTGTATAGAGAAACAAGTTAAGTGTAGTACTACCAGGGGTGTAGTGGGTATCGAACTTGGAACTTCTCACTTTTGAGGCAAGTGGTCTATCTCAAAAACAATGTAATGTATACATTGCTTTTACTTAGATGAGCTATTCAAGTTGTCTGTCTTTGATTTTAAAATATTTGTCTCACTTTAATTTTGAAACGATTGTAGCTAAAGTTACTAGCTACAATAAAGACAAATTATGTTTAAGTAAGACAACTGGCAATAATTTTTTTAACTTCATCATCTGTGACACTTTTGGATTTACCTATAGTATTTGTGTAACAATATTACATTCAACTGAGTTAAAAACTGAGTTGAGCTATGGTAGATTCCATGTAAAAACAATGGTAATGAAAAAAGAACGCTTCTACATCTGACTGCAATTGTACTTGCAATTGTATTAAGTAATTGTATTAATTAATTGTACTGCAATTGTATTAAGTATCATTTGCATCATAATACCTTTTGTGTATTTTAATTGTTCCATATATATAAGAGTAAATTGACAATATACTGAGTTAATTCTTTCATATTACAAAAACATTAAACAAACTGCACAAATAAATCTTAAACTGAGATTAAACTTATTTTAAAATATGTTCAATATGTTTTATCTCGACAAATACAGGATGGAAAAAACTCAGCAACTGGTAAGTGGTGTTGTCATTGAACATGATAAATAATGGAGTCATCTTGATGCAAATGGTTTGGCAGTCGATAAAGATCTTGAGCTGGAGAACTTTCAGTTGACTTGATACATGCTTATGGATTCTGGTTGGGCTTGGTGTTTAATGACAACGCTTTGTTTGAAAAATTAGTAGAAAATAAAGCACCTGTTATCTTAGGGAAGAAGTCAGAAAAATGAAAAACATGTCTGACAGTCACAGTGTTTTTTTACAAGTTGTACAATTCAAATATAAGGAATATTGTTTGAACTTTCAATCATCGTTTTTTAAAGTCTTTCTCAAAGACTTTTACTGTCATCTCTACTTGTTGTTGACATGCTGTATGTAGTAAGAAAAAAATCACAATAATGTTACATATTTGTCCATACTTTAAAACTTTTTATTGATGCCCAATTGTGTTAAGAATTTTTCACAAGGGTTACAATATGAATGTTTCTACCCAATATGAACACAAAACAAATAACATGTTAGTTTGAACTTTAGCTTAAATCTTAAACTTTTTCTTTCATAAAACAAAAACTCTTCAGTTGCAGGTTTATTGTTGGTTATAGCAAAAGTGTTATGCATGATGGAAATTCAGAAGAGGCAGAGGACTTCAAAAGGCAACATAGAGTTTGATAATATGATTAACCCTTGGTTAATGCTAAAACTGACTTCAGTACTCTTGTTGTATCAATTAGATTTGTACCAACTCAAGCGTTTCATAATTGATATGTAATTACATAGTAATTTTATTTGGGTAAAAATTACTATGTAATTAGGGTGGGTAAAAATTTTTTTTTTCTGTTATGTATATTTTAAAGAACCAATTTTGATATTAAATATTGGTATATAAATTCCGTCACTTTTTAAACATTCATCCTATCTCTGGCATAAACATATTTCTGCTCTTGGAAATATATAACAGGTTTTATTTTTAATTTATAACTCCAATTTATACGAATCTGCATTGCATTTTTTTTATTAAGAAGTTATCTGCTATAAAATTTATTAACTATATAAATTATAATTTTATAATTTTAATAACATTGATAATAAGTGCTTAGATAAGTTGACAGTTTGGAAACGTTTTATTTGTTTTTCTAAGTGAGAACTTGTCACATTGACATTTATTAAACAACAATCACCATGCAATTGTATCAAAATAATTTTGATTAGTATTCACAAAGTATTTGACAAAACAGATTATTTCAAATCAAAACTAAACCTGATATCAGTCATTAAATTTAATATTTCCAGTGAGATGTGCTTTATGTTAATGCTTCAGAGTTGATTTGCTTTTTTTTGTGCATGGTGACTGAATTTAAATGTCATTTATGCTATAACACTTAAAATTTGAAGGGCAGCGTAAAAACAATATCTTGAACATCTTGAACATCATAATTAGATTTTTTTAATCTTAGTTTTCTCATCAAAATGAAAAACTTTAAGTTTACAACACTAGCAGTTGTAAACCATTTAAAGAATAGATGCATCCTCCTCTCCCCTGTATCACACCCCATCCTCTCTGTATGATTTTTTCTAAAGTTCTGCGGCCAGAGTTGAGAGAAAAATAATGTCATCAATATTTTTACAAGTACTGTTAACAACAGTACTTATAAGTGCATTTTTCTGATTCCTAAAAATCCTCATTCCAATAGCAGTTCTTGCAGTTTTTAAGAGGAAATTTTTGTTGGAGTGAGAACCTGAGCTTTATCAGCCTTTTCCCTCCTAAACTTAAAAATCTTTTGAAAATTTTGTTTCCACATTTTTTTTTCTTTTCTGTGTATCTTGATACTTTCTTTATTTGGCTTTGACTTACTCATAACAAACATCAAGTTCTTCAATCACTATTTTGTAACTCATCGTCTGGTCTTGGATAAAAAGTAAATATTTCTTAAAGGAATTTAAATTTATTAATATTTCAGAAAATAATGTTTGAAGATAAACAAAAGGCAGACTGCCTTTTGTTTATCTTCAAACTGACGTGGGTTACTGCGCAATACAATAAGAAACTGAAAAGATTTTTCAAGTTTTCTTTATAGAAATCAATTTAAAAATGGCCAATAAAATCAATTTAAAAGTGACCAAGAGAAATCAATTTACCAGTGATTAATAAGAACAAAATCATTGTTGAAGTTTACTTTTTGTTTCAAGTTTGTGATGATGCTTATTTTTTTATATTATAAATAGTTATACTAAGTTTTGATAATAATAAATCTAGACTAATAAGTTGCAGTTTGTCTCTTTAGTCCCTTTTTTAGTTTTTTTATTTTGACTTCTAGATGTATGACAATCAATAGAATCAGAACTAAACAGTTTTATTTTGCTCAATATTACGTATATATTCTTCCAACATCCTTCCCTGGTGTAGGGTGGATAGCAAGATGCTTTTTTTTTGTTGGATAGGGTGTGGAGGGTGTCTCCCCCATCAGTGGGGGTGTAAGGGGTTCCCTCATAAATGACTTTTTTGTGCATTTAGTTGGGAAATTTGACTCTTTTAGACAATTATTAAGAACTTTAGGCAATCTTGACCCTTTAGACAAGTCAGTCAGGAAATTTAGACAATCGGTAATTTAGAGTCAGTAAATTTCAAAAAAGGAGGATTTTTTTTTTTGAAGTCAGCAAAAATTGTAATGACACCACCATCATCACCACCAACCCCTCATGTGACACCTACTTGTGCCAGCCCTACCCTGATGATTAGTTTTCTATTTTCTCAAATCAATAAAAAAGAGAGATTCAGAAATAGATTTTTCAATTGTATCTACATAAAGCTGTTTTCTAAACGTAATCTGGTTCTTCGCTATTTTCTACAAGGGACCTTTTCTACGAGTAGACTTTTTCAGAATCTTTGGTTTCCTTGTTCTCTTCTTTGGTTTTTGATGCGGACATTCCTCATTTTCCCAGTCAAAAACCAAAATTAAATTGTTGTCAATTTAGGCTTTGAATGAGATTTTAGTTTTTCACCATATT